GGTGTTGGTGGCCTCGAGCACCATTGCCCCGCGTGTCTCCCGGGTGGAGAGCGTGTAGGAGAGCCGTTGGGTGTGGGTGTGGGGCGTCTGCACCTCCCATCAGGTGTCGAAACCGAGTGTAATTGTGTTTATGAGGCTGAGCTAAATAATTTGGCCTTGGCTTTTGGGAGTGTCCTTGCGGGCGGGTGGGGGACAGAGCGGGAGATTTCTGACTGAACAGGGTAAGTGGGTAAGTGGTGGTCAAACACTCAACTTTGCCCAGAGGGTGTGGTCCCTGGAGCCGGTGTATGTGTGGGGGTAGCGTTGCTCCCCCAAGCCCGGGGCCTGGAGTGGGCTGCGGGAGAGGGCAGGCAACCAGCTGCTTTGTGGACGCATCCAGTACTCACTCTGGGGATGGGACGCGTGTCACTCCGGCCCCAACCCCCTAGGGGCAGATCGGAGAAGCGTGGCCGAGGTCGGCAAGGCCTCCTCCAGCCTCCCAGCTCAGTGCAGGGCGAGGGTAGGAGTCAGAGCTGTCCACGCTGGAGAAAGGGCTGCGGACGGGGGCGGAGACCCGAGTCGCTATGCCTAGGGTTCCTTCTTGCGCCCCTAGCCCTTTCGCTTTCTGTCCCATGTGAGTTTGGGGGGCGGCCCATGGGGAAGGTAGGGGGGAGGGCTGGGGAGGGGGAGGGGCTGCCCGCTTTGTTCGCCCCGTACTTGCCTTCCCTTTGGAGGGGAGAGCTGAGGACGTGTCCGAGGCAAGTCGGGGAGGGACTTGGAGGCGGGATGGGGGTGGGGAGGGGGATTTCTCTCCAGCTGCTGCGGCTTTCCAGAGAGACTCAGCCAGGCCACGTGGGAGGGAGCAGGGATGGCGGAGGGGGTAGGAGCCTTACCCTGGTCAACCCCAGGCCCATCTCCTGGAAACCCAAACTGCGGGATCTGCTGGGACCCCTTCTCTCCCTACAAAGACACGCCCCTTTCTAGGCTGACTGCCCACCTGGCTGGAGGCCCCCAGGGGAATGGGGAGCTCGGGTTGTCAGGTGAAGAGGGCAGAGCACATCTCCTGGAACCCAGGAGATAAGGAACAGCTGTGCCCCCTGTCTCCGGCTTTTCCAGGAGCTCCAGACAACAAGGGCTCAGTGTCACCCACGAAGCGGGACCAGGCCTGGGAAGTGCAGGGAGCATTATGAATCCTGGTGGGGTCTCTGGCCAGGGGCTCAGTTTGCCTGGAAGATCTGGCCTCTGTCTGCTCCGGAGCGCAGGGCACCAGGCAGTGGCAGGGACAGATCTGGGGCTCCCTGGACAGCAGTGTGTGTGGCTAAAGCAACTACTCTACCAGCCTTCAGGCCCCAAACCTTTGCTGTACAAAGCTCGGCCCCCTTGGGACACCTTATAGAGTTCTGTATAGCCACAAGGTTGCTCATTCATTCATTCAACAAATATTTACTGAGCACCTTTTATTATTATTATTATTATTATTATTATTATTATTATTATTTGGCTAGCATGTGCCCGGTGCCTAGAATATAGTAAATAAGGTGGCAGGCTTGGTCCCTGGTGCCAAGCTTCCAGTCTGGTGGGGAGAGACTGACAGGTACTCTGGAAAGGTCAGGAAAGGTTTCCTTCAGGAAGCAATGAGTAATGGAGCTCCATGCAGGGCCTGAGTTCGCCCTATAGAAGGAGAGTGGTGATGGAAAACGTTTTCCAGCGAGAACAGCATGTGCAAACGCTCAGAGGTGACTTCGTTTGAATGAAGGTAAATCCGGCTGGAGTTTAGAGCACGGGTGAGAGTGGAGCAGGTTGGGGAAGGATGGGATGGCCATGAGTGTCAAGGGAGAAAGGGGTGGGGCTGCACAGCTATGAGGGCTTGTAAGCCCCACCA